GCTCGGCCGCCATTGGTCCGAGCGAGGCGGGGGGCGGGCCCTGCGGGAGCCGCGGAGAGGGCGAGGTGGACGTTCTCCCGAGGAGGCGGGACCCTGGCCCCGGTCCCCATTGGAGGGCTGCTCTGACCGTCACGCTCTGCTCCCCGCTCCCTCCTTTGCCTCACCTGGAGGGGAGAGGAGTGCATTCTGCGCATGCTCGAGGGAGGGGGCGCTCTGCAGATGCCCCAGGGATGTGAAACTCTGTTAAAAAAGGCATTCTGAACATGCTGAAGGGGTTTGGCACTGCAAAAAGGCACTCTGCACATGCTCAAGGGGTTCGACAATGTAAAAAGGCACTCTGCACATACTCAAAGGGTTTGGCAATGTAAAAGGGCACTCTGCACATGCTCAAAGGGTTTGACAATCTGCAGAAAATGCACTCTGCACATGCTCTAGGGATTTGGTGCTCTACAAAAATGCACTTTACACATGCTCAAGGGGTTTGACAGCCTGTAGAAAATGGACTCTGCACATGCTCAAAGGGTTTGACAATGCAAAAATGCACTCTGCACGTGCTCAAGGGGTTTCTATTCTGCAAAGGGGCACTCTGCACAGTCATGGCAACTGGGCTGGGATGAACAGCCTTGCTCTCTGCAGTTGCTCAGGGAATCTGACTCTTGCTTGGGCCAGCTGCAAAAGGGCACTCTGCGCATGCTCAGGAGCTGGTTCTTCCTGGGTGGGTGCAGTCTTTTGTCCCCCCCACACACACACACAGCCACAAACAAGGCCTACTACTACAGAGGAAGCCTGTGTACTGAGGCAGAGTTCAATGGGCCTCTGGCCAAGATGGCCGCAGTCAGTCAAGGGACATTGGCCTTTCCAGCTTAGATGAGGCTGGCAGTGAAGGCAGGGCCTGGCTCTCAACCCATTCCCTCTCAAGACAGAAACCTTTTATGAGTGGGTCTGTCAGGGCCTTCCTCTGAGGCTGAGAGTGTGTGACCCATTGGGCTTCCTTGGCCGAGGCAGCATTCGAACCCAGATCTCCAGAGTCCTACTCCAACGCTATACTGGCTCTCACAACAGAAAATTTAGGCTCCTAGGAAGATACTGGCCTCAAACTGGCCTAGATTTCCATATAATACTTGGTTTCTGCTTATTAAACCAATCGATCCTCCTTGGACAGTAGGCATAGTTAGGGAGGATTACCCATCCTTCACCTCAAAGCCTAATCCCAATCTGGATTAAGCCTAAAGGGAGCGAGATGGTAGGCCCAGGGTGGCCAGAGGTCCTCCTTTTCCAGGACACATCCTACATTTCAACCTTGCATCCAGAAGAAATTTCAAAACGGCCTCCATTTTGAGCATGGCTAAGAAGCATGAATTCCTGTTTATATGAGTGGTTTTGGGTTGTTGTTTTTTAGCTTTTATTTGGTCATGTCCTCCGTTTTCCTTGAAGGTCCTACATTTTGC